ACTACCAATAAATCAATTATATGAGATGGTATATGAATTGTATCACAATGAAATTTCACACAGCCCTGCTTTCCCACAAGGTTTTATCATCCCAGCGGGACTCGAACCACGACAGTGCAGAATGTGATCTCGATATGTTAACCAATACGGTGCTTCACCTTAAACCAAATAGGGTGAATACATTTCAGTCTCTCGAAGACCTATCTGGGCAGTTCATCTTCAATCTTTCCTATTTATGTGAAAATTTGCTTTGTATTTACTGTTTTTGTGACAAGATTTAGCTTCTCTTTGTCAACAACAACAACAACAACAGATTTCATTTTCCGCTGAGGATAAGTTTTCAATGTCTTTTACTGCGAAAGTTGTACTAATCCTACACATACGAGAATGGCAAAACAGTGTTATTCGTCATCTATTTGATCGCTTGCTCTCCTTCATTTTTACTATGACATAGCTCAACTGGCTCTTGTGCCATAAATGAAGAGTATTGACTTCTTGAGGCTTAACAAGCAAAGTTAGTTGCTAGTTGTTGAGCCGGATAGATTTTATGGCTTTGTAACTAGGACTAAATAATGTAATCAAGTTGATGAGCAGAACTTGTACATCTGCTAATTGCATCGGTTCGAGAGATGAAGATATTTATAATAATTTCGTGATAAACCTTCATTACGTTCGTATCTCTTTGTTTCGTGCTAGGGCCAAGCTCTACACACACACAACACCACGCATATACATATTTTTATAATTTATTTAGTTTAAAATGCAAATTTGATTTTCTTAAATTAACGAAACTAACACTTATTTTCATCTTGTCCAATATTCTCCTCCGATCTTCCTCATGCATTATGCTCACCAGTCCTCTGAGTGATGCAATTAGCGTCTACTCTGAACGTCTTGAACAACTTCGACTAGCCGCTCTCGTAGAATGTGAGCGGCTCGGCTTCCCAAAGATTGAGTCGGGCAAAGAAATGGCGCAAAATCTGTTGGTAAATACTTAAAATTGGAACTATGTATGCTTATAACATATTTCATCATGTGTTTTTTTGCACACTTTTGTGGTTTTATAAAATAAGTCGGCTTTACTTTGTCTAGTTTCTTGAACTGAGGAACATTTTGCCGAAGAGAAATGATGTTTTATGTTAAAATGATATTTAAGTTCATGTTTGTGCTAAAGTTGGACATTCTTTCAAACGATTGATAAATAACTCCATTTATTTGGCCGATCTATGTCGCTATGAATGGAAGCTGATTTTCCACTTAGACCGACTATTATGCACACGCTTGATGCTGCATTAAGGTGTCTTTCTGTAACCAACGAGACATAAACAATTTTATTCCACAATAATTGTTTGATTCTGCATCTTGTTTCATTAACACACAAGAATTGTATTCAGTTCCTATTCACGCTCTAGTGGTATTATCTAAACCTACTTAATAATGCATATGTTTAGTTTATATAAAATTCTCCGACTGGGTCTTACGGCAAAGGGAATATTTATTTTAACCAGACAGATCAAACTTTTAATACTGGATAACTTTTTTTGGTTCGATCTTCGCAGTACACACACTGATTTCCGAGGATCGGGTTGTATTATATTTATTTCATTGCGGAAAAAAAATTATTTTGTCTCTACTATCACGAGGTAGAGTTAATCAGTAATTTAGTTGTGTTTTTTTAGAAATCGCAACATTTCTTTGAGAGGCTTCTCCTCAGTGATGAACTCTTTCCTCGACACAGATTTGCCCAATCATTATTTGGATATGCATTCTATTGGGTCGCCAAGTATTCTATTAAATAAGGCAATTTAGCGATAGAGACATGTTTGTTCTATTCTTTTGTTATATGAAGGAGCAAAATACAAAATAGTCTATTTTTTAATTTTCATTTTAGACATTTTACATTTTATTAAGTTTTAGCCTCAACATACTTTTAGAGCTGATTTTTGACTCTTTTAACTTTTTATTCTTCTCTTTCTTTAAGTTTGACTACCCAAATAATTGGTGCAAGGAAAAGACGAAGTAATAAACCAACACATTTTTACTTGTGCTTTATCATGTATTTTTACTCTGAATGTAGCTTTAATGTTTCTAACATCTAAGCATTATTACATTCTTTGGATAGAGCATACACAGAAGTATTTTCATGTGCCTAAACTATATCGGGGCTGTTTGTCGCAGGCAATTCTACTTGTCAAGCGAGGTATATGAGTAGTCTCGAAACCTACTTATAAACAAAAATTGTATTTAATGCTGACTTACGATTGTTTTACTTTAAATAGGCGAGTGAGATTCGTTAATTGTTCTAATCATAAACTGCAAAAGTATAGATTTGGAGTTGTGACTGCGGATTTGTTATAATTTCTCCAACATCATTCCATTAAAGAGTTCTTCGACACCCAGATTCCCTTCATGTAATTGTATTTAATGTTTTGAGGTTTATTCCATTTCATAATAAACTCTACTGCGACATTCTGGATTGTAATAAAGAATCTGTTTTACATCAAACTTCTCATATTAATTCCTTGATAGTATCAGATTAATTAGTGATTATGCTGATAATGATGATGATAATAATAATAATAATGGTGATGAGGATGAATCCTTAAAGATGTAGCCACGCCTTAATCTAAAGGTCATTAGGGCCTTGCTACATTTTTTTCGTTCTTCAGGAGTCCTAGAAATTTTCTTCTATCAAAGGGCGTTTCATCAAATAGACACGAATTTCTCCAACAAAATTTTGAAAGCTATTGCTTTCAGATTAAACAGAAATACCCTCTAGCCTGAATGCACTTCGTCTGTGAAAAAAGAGAAATTAAAAAAATTTTTCTATTTGTCTATATTTTTCACTGGTAAAAATCGTAATAAATAATGATTATGAGTTTAATTTTTTTGTTAACTTTAAACATATTCCAGCCCGACCAAGTATACGCCAGTCGGATGCGCAGCGTCAGCATCACATGCTCTCCGAGTTTCACTCAAAGACAAAAACCGCATCCTGACGATGCGAACGAGGCGCTTTTGTGTATTCAACCTTGCAAAAAGTCCCGTTTGGTAACCACCACGGCCACAATCATCGCAGAAATAGACCACAAAGACCCTTTTCAAGTGGATTTTGGTCCTGAAGTTGGCCCATCTGCTCGATCTGCGTCAGAGTTTGGCGGCATTGAGGATCGGCTATCTGCCACCTCTTCACTTTCCACTGTGGCTTTGGAGCATCGAGGTGCTGCCGAATTTTTGTCTCGATCCGGATTTGGCTGTTCTTTCTACTCGCAGGCTGAAGCCGATGCACACTGGGACGCTCAGGCGTCTGGCATGGTTAGTGAAGACGACACGGACGAGGCCCAAGAAAATCAGAGCATGATGGATTGGGACCGAGTTGGAAGGCGTGAATTGGGCGAACTGATGCGGTCACGCGAAAACGGCCGAATAATGGCGTCATCTTTGACTCCAGCCTCATTTTCTAGCTTTCGAGATCAGGAGACGCTGAGACCGATAGGAGTGGTATTTGTCGGTCTTTCCAGTCCCGAGGAGGCGATACGGTATGCTAAAAACATTAAAATCTAAATAAGATTGTATGAAAACCAAGATGTCGCATGGTCGCAGTCTCCTTTCGATTTGTAGCACAACTTGGTGTTGTTGTCAGGGCGACTTAGTAGGACACACCTAGTGATAGTGCAACCGTTTCCGCCAGAACGTCTGTCGAGGGATTGACTTTACTTGTCTCTTTGACGAGTTCGTTGCTTGGTGCGGAGAATGGCAAAGCTCACTGATGATGGGAATCATGACAACTGCTATGACAGACGACTTCGGACTATGTACGTTCTACATAGTCGCCTTGACAACAAGACCAAGTTGCGACAACGAGGTCAACCCACTTCTAAATGAGATTATTCATTTATTTTTGCGTTACTTCCAAGTATTTCAATGAATCTGTCGGCAAGACCGAAAGAACTTGCTGATATACTTCACACAATCATAGGAATAAGATTTCGATGCTATCTGGACTCATAGTTCTAGTCGCTGTAGGTCATTTCGTTTGAAAGTGTATGTTGTAGAGATTGACCTAACATGATCTTTATCGTCCACTATTGTATTAACTGCAATTCAGCACAACATCATTTTCATATATTCATGATTATTTGTTTCTTTGAGCTACTACCATGAAGCTATCGGCAAGACCATGACCAAGGCTATCAATAAATGGTTCTAGCTGCCAAGTGGATAGATTAATTTTCCAGTACAAACATAAAATGGCCTTCAATTCAATGGCATTGTGAGGCC